TATTTGGAACGTAAAGAGACTTATTGAGGGAAGCGTTTTACCACTATTTGTTACTGGGCAAAACCTTGAGAAGGAATCAAAAATAACATATTTTTCTTATACTGTATTAGAAAGATCAACAAATTCTCTTATTTTTCTTTCATATATCTGGAAAATACTATACAAATACCAGTGAAAAGAAAGGAATGTAAACTATGCAAACTAATTGCTAGCCTTGCCAGCAAGCTGACCTGGGCATTCAGCACGCTCCCACCACATTACAGCCCACAGCAGCACGTGACTTTCTTTTTCAAACCAAACTCTCTGTCATGTTCGAATATGGGCCCTTCCCTTAGTAACTGCTTAAATAAAACTTCCTTGGCCACTTCCTAGACAGGGACAAACAGCTTTGATAGCGAGGCTGAAAGCTGGGATGGTGAAATCCCCGTGTGTAACCCGGGGCACATGAAGTCCGCAGCTGCTCTGTGGGCCACAGTGCTACAGGGAGGAGAAACTGAGAGAGGTTTTCTGGATCCTGGAGTTGCTCAATAACAGTGTGGGCAAACTTGCTGTATCTTCCAAGTGAAGATAATAGGCCTAGAAAATCAATCCCCACAGATAACTGTGAAATGTGTGAAGGATCATGTGATGGTTCCCAGAAGAAAGTTAAAAGTAGCAAAAGGATAAATTATGTACGTACCCTCCCTGGAAAAGGAGTAAAGAGAAGCGAACAGAAAACACAGAGGTGTGAGATAAGCTTGTCTCCCTGTCTTCCCTCCCTCATATTCAGAAGCTAAAAGCTGAAGGTCTTTCTGTTCAATAAAGTAGCAAGTCTAGAGAGCAACAACAAGCAAGACTTGCTGATTGACAAGGAAGGGTTTCGGTTACCCAGAGGCTTGGGTAACCCTTACACCTGAGATGCTTCTCTGATCTGAAAACAAATTTCAGGATTTCTTAACATCACCCATTACTACTGTGGCTGTAACTACAGGAAAGCCCAGGTATGCAGCACAGAAGCAGTATCCCTAGGATTATCGGGAAGGATTAATTGCTGTGAGCTGGAAACTAAAAAAAAAAAAGTCCTTCAACATGTCCTGGTATGCAATTCTTCTAAGTCACACCCTTCATGAAGTCTACACAGGTCAGGAAAGTCACTCTGCTTCATTACTTCAAATGTTGTGAAGATTTCAGTGGTCCTGTTTTGCAATCCAGGTGACATGAAAGAAGAACATTTTCAGAATAATTTCAGAAAGGTACAAGTATGGACCTGACCTGTACTGGTACTACAAAACTGAGCCTTGAAGCAAACTACATTCAATATTTAAAGTTTAAAAAAGAACACAGTTTTAACAACGTGAGTCAAACCCACCTCCGCTCTATTTCTGCCAGCAGTAAATTCGAGATTATTTGGAATCTTTCTAATTTACTCCCTTGTCTTTACAATTAGCTCTCTTTCCAAGGAACTTCCGAATGTAACATTTGGATAGGGGCCAAACCTACTGAATCCGGCTATGAACTCCCAGCATTCAAAATCTGGGGGATCAGAGGATCCGGTTGGCCAGACCTCTGGTTTCCTAGCTCCACGCGTATCTCAGGCAGCTCCATGCAACCCACACAGAAGAAACACATTGCTGAAGGCTTTTTTTCCTTTCCTCCCTATTCTGACACAGCCTTTGAGGGAAGATCTCCGTCCCACTACACGTAAACATATACACAGATGCACGTGACTTGCGCTGCCCCACACTTCAACTTGAAAAATGATTCAGAAGAGGTTCAAGAAATTAGTGAACCCCCAAGAAAAAAAGTTGTTGTTTTTTTCTCCTAAGCTGTCTACGCACTATTTTCTGGTGTTACTTATTCGTAAACTTGGGTGACTTTTTCCTTAAAACCAGGTGTACCCGGCCACGCACTGTTTGGGTAACGGAAGACCGGTGAAAGCAACCGAGAAGGCTCAGAGGTGCTCCGCGAACGCTCTGACGGACACAGCCGGGACGAGGTGCCGGCGACGCCACCTGCACGCCGCGCTC